TTTACAATTTTTGAATGGAAAAAACAACCTTATCGAATTTTTCTTATGTAAACATATTGTAAAATATCCGATCTTGACAATAAAAAAAAGTTTCAATATCTAAAGTGGTTCTTGAGTTATGGCCTGTTATGTGTTAAAAAATTGAGCTTTTAAATTATCGCGATTACTGACGTTTTCTCGTTATAAAAAAATGACACCTTAACGATATCCTTATAATTCCATTTCAGATGCTCAGGAACATGTCTGTTGCAACGCCGCAACAGCAAACAGCCGTCGCGCGTCGCGTCGGTCGGTCGCATTTCTCTCATTCCGAGTTAATAAGATCCCTATGCGATTTACTTCCACACATGTAAATGCCGACCCAAAAGTAACAGTTGCCAGCACGGTATATGTTCAGACATTCGAAAAATGTGTGTAACGAACGTTTTCAAAATGATTAATTTTGTTCTGGCGGCACTAGGTTTAAATTTTACGATTAGGATCCAACTTTATGGTGGACACTGTATATGTTTATTATATTTAATTTAAATTTAATTATATTTTCACTGGAATGCAAAATAATGTGATTATCGAAAACTGGTTGTATCTCTTTTATGCCCAAACTAAAAGGAAAATATTATAGGTATTAGTGTATAAATCAGAGAAGAACAATCGTAGAGAAGCGACAAAAACCGTCGGCACTATTGAGGGGGACCAAGTTGTGTGACCTTCAAATTGGCGTTCGTGAGAGATCGCCAGTTTATAACTACACTGAGAGAAATTCAATGAAGGCAAAAGAAATGAGAAAAACTATACACTGAAAAAACATGTGTTCAGTAAAAAGATTTTAGAGGGATATTTTCAAATCGTATCTGATAGTATTGTTTGTTTCGAAATTAAGATTTAAAAGTGTTTTTTTTAAGAAAATTCCGAATATTTATCAGCTGTTATCACAAGAGTTAAAACAAACCAAAAAGTAAATAACATAATTAGAGTTGAGGGTTGGAACCGGGGTGTTACAACAGCAAAATAAAACACTAATTTACCACAATACACCAAAACACTTTACTTCTGCAGTGCATCAGAAGATGATTAAAACACTAAGATGATTATAAATCTCTATACTATGAGAACATAGGTGGTAGATTAAATTTACAAAAAAATCATATTTTACATAAAAAACCATATTACATTTAAAGACAACACAACTCACATTAACGTCGCTAATATATTATATTTGCGATGAAATATTTAATTTTCTAATTATTCTTGTTAAACGCTAACAAACTGCATCTATTTTAAGTTTTAATAATATTTAGTTCTGAAAATTAGTTCTTTCTTTAAGTACTATTATAAGGTAAGGATAAAATATAGATTAATTAATTCATAAAGATTAATTATGTACACAATTAAAAAAATAGTAAGATTTCAGGACTCTTAACAATGGCAACACTGGCCGTATTCCGAAAACACGTTGAGATGACATTTAGCCGGTTTACCTCCCACTCCAAATTTTTAGGCGGGATTCGTTTTGTCGCTTCTCCACGATTGTTCTTCTCTGGTATAAATAATAACAAATTTTTTTTTTGACAAAATGGTGAATGCGCCAACAAAATTTTCGGCGCAATTTAAAATATTAACTCTTCGCCTAATTTTATACCCACGAGCCGCCACTGAAAGTAACAGAAATAATTTCAACCTTATATTGTATTATCGCTGCGGTATTTTCATTGCCTCTAAATTAAATTGCTGGTTATTAACAGTGATTTTCGGAATATGATAACTGTTACAGACTGCTCCACAATTGAAGACTTGAAGTAAATAATGTTCTAAGTACCAAAATCATTATTTCGAGATAAACAACATTTTTTGTTTCATAACCAATGTATAAGAACGGGCGGCGGTCTCTGTTGAGAATTTTTTTCAATATAATTTAATAGCCGTGGCACTTAGCGCTTTATATACATATGTTGTTCGTTATGGAACTTAGGACATTTTACAAATAAAACTTGACAGACTGTTTTGGTTTGGTTTGGCACTTAGCACATTATTTACTTCAAGCCTTCAATTGGAACTGTTTCAAATCAACTCTATTCAGTATCCATAAAAACGGACTAAACCAAGTACAATACCGACGATACAACCCTACCCAGAGCCGGAGCGCCGCGGCGCGACCTTCTCCCGAGACTCCGCTGGGCGTGCTCGTAAAACCATCCCGACCGCCGCCGGACCGGCAAGCCCGCTACCGCCGAGCCCTATCGATCCGGCCCCCCGAGCCGGGACCGTGGAGCGCGGGGAGGCGGGCGATTGATTTTCGCCCGACGGCGGCGGCCAGTGACGTCAAAGCGTCGTCGGGGGGCGGCGTCGGGGAGAGTGGGTGATGTCGCCGCCTCAGGTTCATTCCCGGAGGTTGAACCTGCGGCCGCCCGGGGTCAATTATCCGATACGGAGACGATTATATGGTTTATAGACGATTTCAGTTGGGACAGATTGGAAGGGGGGAGTTGGTCACTTTCGAATGTTCGAAGATTTCGCTGTGCCGATGCCAAATTTTACATTTTTAATAACATTATGTTGAAAACAAGCATTCTATAGGGTTGTTCACCACATACGACACTGAGTATTGTAGCTAAACTATTATATATTTACAAATTGTAAGTTTTAGATTTGTTGAAAGACTATTAGAGCTACAATTTAAAAATATTTTTTACTAAATACAGAGTGTCCCAAATAAGTAGAAAATATTATATGTAGTTCTATTTTTTAAATGGAACACCCTGTATATTATTCTATTTTTAGATTCTACGACTGAAATAAAGGTAAATTTGATTGAGGTTTATCACACTAAAACGTTACCGTTTTTGAAATATTTTCAATTTTGTGAAATTGCAGTAAAAAATTTAAGCCAAGGGTATCAAAGTTTTTAATACTAAATATTTACTTAATAGAAGATTATCTATTGATCAGATATTGTGTTGCAATAATAAAAATTATACTACCTTATACAGAGTGTCCAAAAATTTATATTAAATAATTATTAGATTTAAACGGCAATAACTTGTTTAATTTAAATAGAACACCCTGTATACTTTACGAGAATCAGATGCACAATTTAATTGTCTATCAAATTGTACTATACCATTTTTTACCTATCTCTTCAAGTTTTCATAGAAAATGCATTTTCTTATAATTTAGACCTCAATGATCACTATAGCCATGGAATATTGACATTTTAGATTATTTTTAAAGATGTAACAAATTTTCAAAGGGTAAAGATACTAATATTGTTGATATAGTTCGCTTATTTGATTAAAAAATAAAAAAAACTGTTTAAATATTTTTTGGTAAAGAGGAGCAATTAATATGATCCCAGTATTCAAATTACATTAATTGACTGTTTACGTTAATTAATAATAATTGCTCCAAATACTATAAAACTGAAATTTGTATATGTAGTATTAGACAGTGTGGTAAAACGCACACCACAAAAGCAACACCTTATAAATTTTATTTCATTTTTTGACGAATTTTTAGCCGACCGTACCAATAGGTATGGTAGGCTATTAAGATCGGCAAAAAAAAGTTTTTTTAATTTCACTCAAAATGAGTTATTTGGGTCATAAATGACCTAAACACAAAATATTTTCATGGTGTCTGTCTGTCTGTCTGTAACATTAACTCAAAAACCGCTAAACCGATTTTAACCAAATTTGGCACAAAAATACTGTGGCACCCGAGAATCTGGCCATTAGTTTTTGGTGGGGGTGGGGGGTTGGTAAGAGGGTATGGGAGGGGGTTAAAAATTTAAAAAAATCGTCACTCCAAAATTACAGTATCTAGCGAAAAGCGGTTTTCAATTTAAGATTAGCAATAATATTTGCAACAAAATTTGTAATAACATCAAAATCAGTCAAAGTCGCAGTTTTTGAGATAAAAAAAAATTTGGAAAAATTCCTTTACTTTGAAACTAAAAGAATTGCCTACCAACTTTTTATTAACATATTTTTAGTATGGGCGGCTATACGTGCCTCCCGGCGCCAATTTTTTTTTATAACAGACACGTTCATTTTAATAACTTATTATTATATTGATATCTGAGTCAAATCCACATTTATTTAGAATAATTTATTAATTAAAATAATTAAGTAGTATGTAATTAACAAATTTTTGAGCGGAAATAATGTTGGTATATTTAATAGGTATACCACAGAACAGGGTATACTCTTTTACAAAGATTTAAATAGTTTTCATTTTGTAAACAAATATTATAAGCAATATTATTATTTTTACCACCTGTATATTTTGTACATATGTTGCTTTAAAAAAATCTAAAATGTCAATATTCCATGGGTATAGTGATAAATGAGGTCTAAATAAATGCATTTTCTAAGAAAATTTGAAGGGATAGGTAAAAAATGATATAACACAATTTGATAGATAATTAAATTGTGCATTTGATTCACCTAAAATATACAGGATGTTCCATTTAAATTAAATAAGTTATTGCTGTTTAAATCTAGTAATAATTTAATATAAATTTTTGGACACTCTGTATAGGGTAGTATAATTTTTATTATTGCAACACAATATCTGATCAATAAATAATCTTTAGTAAAGTTTAGTATTAAAAACTTTGATACTACTTCGAGAAATGAAGCCTTATATTTTTTACTGCAATTTCACAAAATTGAAAATATTTCAAAAACGGTAAGGTTTAAGTGTGATAAATCTTAATAAAATTTACCTTTATTTCAATCGTAGAATCTAAAAATAGAATATACAGGGTGTTCCATTAAAAAAAATACAACTATATTTTTATTCATTTGGGACACTCTGTATCTTGTGAAATTATTTTTAAATTGTAGCTCTAAAAGTCCTTCAACGAACCCAAAACTTACAATTTGTAAAAATCTAATCGTTTAGCTAGAGTACTCCGTGTCGTATGTGGTGAACAACCCTGTATTTAAAAGAGGCACAGATTTGTTATTTTTAAAAATTAATAAGAAATAAGAAAAACTATAGATAAAATAATATTCTTTATTAGCGATATTCATAATATTCTAGGTGGTCACAGTTTGTTTTCAAGCATTTATTCATAAATAGTATTGGGTGTTTCATTAAGGCCAGTAGTATTTCTAAAAAGAAAGATATTATTACATATAAAAGATTACCGAGTTTAGCCATTAAATATGTAGATTATACAGTGTGAGCTACAAAGTCAGTAACAAATGGGAAAAAATTGAGCTATCGCAAAACTTTCCAAAAAATTACATGCGAATGTTTTTAAGGTTCTGTGAATTTATAAAAATTGGCATAGTTATGTAAATTCCAATTATGGACAATTTTTCACTTGCCTTTTTTGATTTTCATATTCAAAGAGCATTTTTGTAAATTGCCAGTATATTTGACACATTACTTATGTTGTTAAAATAAAAAAAAATTGTGCAGTAAAATTTTTTCAAAAGCTCAATAATATTTTCCCATTTGTGAACTTTTTGACACTCGCTGTATAAGGAAATACTGAATCATAAATTTATATACATATGTAGCTTACCTCAGGATCATAATCATATACACATTTGGCAATTTCATAAGCGGCTGTACATTTGTCGTTTAAAGTTTGCGCTGAAATATTGATGTTAGAATTATATTTTATATTATAAAAGATGTTCATTATTTATTATAATCTAACATCCACAACCTTGTATTTAGACAGGCTAATGTTATTGAAGCCCCACACATACTGATGCAATCTAAAACGATTTTTTTATAAAATGTATCAGTTTTTTGCCAACTTTTTTTTTATTTTTTTTTAAATGTATCAGACATTTTTACCGACCTGGCCATTCACAATCCGTGGTCTGTATTTTATGACAAAGATAGAGTTTGTTAACTTATTTTTCGCAAGTGATAGAGAGAGATACGCAGAAATGTAAAATTGTCGGATCCTAGGTGTGATAAGAGGATGAGAGATTTTGAAAACTAAATATGGCGGACATACCAATAGAATTTTAAATATCATGTGAGGAGTTATAACTATAGTAAAGTCCGACAATAACCGGGCATATAACTATTAATAGTGATGAGAAAATCCAAGACCTAGCCCAAGACTCCCATCATACTGTAACAAAACCTGCCTTATCCGGATAGATATGCTATTTTATTAAAATTAGCTAAGAATTTAATTATTTTTTTTGAATTAATTTAAAATGGATAAGACATCAGTAGTAATATTATACTTGTGGAAAAACTTATGAAAACATGCGGGATGTGAAACAATAATGGCAATAAAAAGCAAATATAAGTGGATAAGACGGATTTTGCTGCAGTAACGTAATTTGTAGTAAATTTTATATAGCAATAGGTGACTTTTGCTGCAGTTTGGGACTATTTTTATGTAGATATTAGGGTCCACTATTAATATGTCATTAGGTCATTTTTTTAAATGGATTGCACCTTGACGCTTCGGTTGTTTTAAAATAAATAGAATATTTTTTGTACCAGGAAAAATTGACTATCAAAAATTATGTTAGGGAATGAAAAATTATAGCAATGCTTTGTAAATAAATATAAACATTTTAAATATCGTCGGTGAAATGTGATAAACTGCTAACTCCATTATTTCTAATTTTACAGGAGAGCAAAAAAACGGTACAAAAAAATATGTACACATGTAGGAAGTATTTTCATGCGTCAATATGATAAAATGAGAATTTTATTTGCTGGGGAACAATAAAACTCAATATTTCGTGTTACATAATTTTTTTCAGACACAATAGGGAGATAGCAGATATTCGTCTTGCAGAAATAAGAAATAAAAATATACTTCTGGAGATAGCAACCTTTATTGTTTGAAATTTTGAAAATGGAATTGAATATTACCCAAACAGATTTAGAAATAATGAATTAAATTTAAAAAATATGATATTCATAACTATATATTTAGAATATCGTCGGTCTAGAAGCAAAACATACAAGTCCAAAAACGAATAAATTTTTAAAGAACTGAAGTAGCAGCATTTTGGACTTAATGAATATGAAAATAATTTAAAAATTAAACTTATAATTTTTAGAAGATATGGTAGAATCCTTCCATGCTTGTCCTAATTTTTATATAACTGTAGTAGACCGAGCTTGAAAAACAGTGCGTGATTTTATTAAATTTTTATTACTTTTCTCCTTATTTTTTAATTTTTATAAAGATTATGTATCATTTACGTGGAAAAACGATGAAAAAAATAAAACTGATTAGATATTATGGAAATTCTTGTACAACAAAATAATGTTATTTAAACGCCAATGAATTGCTCGTATATAGAGAATTTCGTTTTTCCCCTTACCCTTTACGGTTTGAAATACGGGGTATTTACAGAACGGATCGACGCAGGGTCGGACTGGCTATATTATATATATATAACTATTAGGGGGGCCCCAGCCTTCGTGGGCCACCTTTATAGTTCATTATTTATTCTTAACAATATTTGCTTTTGCATTGCATTATGGCATTTGCATTGCATTGGTTTACCTTGCATTAGGGTAGTTCCTTGATTTCTATACAGGGTGAGTCTTAAATAAGTGCAAATATTTTTAGGGCTGGTAAATCTCGATAAAAGAAGCATAATATTTTCTCTTTACCGTTTTTTCAAATAAATCCAAAAGAACTGAGTTATTTCTTTTAAAATTTCCAATTTTTGCTATAATTTTGAGAATCATTAGATTTTCTTTCTAGTAAATTTAATCTACTACCTATGTTGCCATATTACAAACAAAATATGTTTTTAAACTAAAAATTAAAAAAAATTCCAAATTTTTTTTTTAAATTCCAAATTTTCAAAAAAGAAAAAAAATCGCGCAAAAAACCTCATCATCGTGTTTCTTGGGTCGAAATATACTACCCCTAAAAATATTTGCATTTATTTAAGACTCACCCTGTATATAATAGGGAAAAATTTACTAAACCGTAAGGCGAAAAAATACGCAAAAAAATCCACACGGCGTGGACCTTACATTGCCACCCGGGTCCCTTTGGCCTAGTTCGACCCTGGATCGACGTACTTACAAAAGAAACTTACGAATAAGAAACCGTGTGATTGCTTTAGCGTGATTGTAACGGAAATTACGGACATAGCAGCATTTCGGTGGCTATTTCCGATCATTGGGAGTTAGCAGATTTTATTGAGTTAAAATAGCAAATTTTCTTTAATGGGAAAAAATGTATTTGCTTTCCCTATTTATAGAGTATTTTTTTCTCTTTCTAATGGTATAAAAAACTTATTAATGTAAAAATTGGAGTTAGCAGGTTATCACGTTTCACTGACGATATGCTCTATAAATTACCTGCATCTTTACAATGTTTCAAAGTGGTAATGGCATGATCGCGAAAACTTGGTGGTGCTTGGGCTTCCATCATTTTAACACCCGCCTCCCAGTCTAATGTATTATCAGCCTTTTGCTAAAATAGATGAAAAAATCGAAAGTTTTGATCTGCTTTCCAAACAATTGTTTTAATCAAAAGTTTGCAGTTTCATCTTTCTCCAAAATTAAAATTTTTATACTCACAAATTTATTCATAGCCAAGATACATTGCAGATAACATTTGCCATGCTTGTCTTGGTTCCAGTCTCCATCGTGCATAGCATTTATTTGCTCTAGAATTGTTATTTGTTTTACAAAATTATTAAAAATAATTTAAAACTTACCTTCTGTTGCTTTGCTTTTCGACATGCAAGTATTTTTCAGGAGTTTCATAGTGGCTTTTACTTGAGCATCTGACATCTAAAAATTTTGTTACATTTTTCAGTTTAGTTAATTTTTCAGTTACATTCTACATACTGCACAGGTTCCATCGTGAACTAATATAGCTAAAACAGCAAGTAACACTAATCTCATGGTTGTATCCATGTACTAAAGTTATCTTGAAACTGGCAAAAGATGTTAAGGGACATGTATTTATAACAGAGGAAGCAGGGCTATTAACACTAAAAAATAATTTATGAATGGAGATAAATACTGATTTATTTTATCAAGGCTACAAAATTAAATGCTTTTAATTGCCAACAAACGGTTCACAAAACAATAATAAAAGGAAATGGCAGGTAACAATTTAAGATTTTTTTTAAGAGAACCAACTGTTTTTATTATAATCATATTTGGAAATGTGAATCTTAATTGATGTAACTATTTCAGAGGATGTCCTGTTTTGCCCATAGTAATCGACAAATTCACCATCTGGGTTTACAAAATACATAATTATTGTGTGATCCACCTGAAATAGTAATCATGGTTAATTACCAATAATTGAATAATTGCTTCTAATAAACTTGAAAACTATGAGCACTCACTATGTAATCACTGTCTTTGTCCTTAGGCCCAGCACTATAGTATACTCTGTATGCTTTACATGCCTGGGCCACTTGGTCTGATGTGCCCGTCAGCCCTAACAATCGGGGACTAAATTCTTTGCAATATTTTCCTACTATTTCTGGACTGTCTCTTGTGGGATCCACCGATATAAAAAGAGGTTGTATTTTTGGGATATTTTCTTCACTATCTAAATAAAAAAGATTTATACTTTATAAATTGAAGATAAGACATAAAATTTTACCTAAAAGATTTATCACAGCAGACATTTTTTCTAATTCATCTGGACATATATCTGGACAATGGGTAAACCCAAAATATATTAATAACCATTTCCCTAAAAATTCTTCACTTTTTCGTTCTTGTCCTGTGCTGTCTACAAGTTCAAAACGCCCCCCTATAGACGCTTTACCTAACATTCGTTTTCTTTCCTTCTCCTGAGCTGAGGATTGATATAATTTACAATGATATGATTCTCTTTCATATATGGTATTAGAGTACCTGCTTCTTTTTCTTTCTTTACATACCACATAAATCCAAGTAAGCCTGCACCTATTCCTGAAGTAATAGCTAAATTTCTCCATGTAATTGGCCCAATACCTTTAGCTAAGCCTTTGGGACCTTTGGGAGGTTGTGGAGTATTTTTGAGGGAGCAATGCCTTACTTGAAGGTGTTTGAAACTCTGGAAACGCGGCTTGAATATTTGAAATATACAGTATTTAGAAGTACAGCAAGAGATAAAAATGTAAAATTTACCTGTATATTTTGATGGAAATTTCCTAAATCACTTATTCTCTTACATATGCTAGATATTCTAGACATTTTTTAAATATTTAAATCAAAATATAGAAATATGGGTTATGTCATGTCGTAAAATTCTTCTTTCAAAAAAGTTGAGTTAACGTCTCTTCTTCTTCTTTTCCGTTTAATGGCCTTAAGCTGCTAGGTTAACACGTACAAGTGTAGGATCACATTATTTGTTTGCAAATATAATATGCAAATCAGAAAAATATGGAAGAGTCTACGCGTTTGTTACGTTGTTAAATGTAAAGAATTCCTAAAGTAGACATGAGTTATTACAGTCTAGAGCGGTTACGAAATACAGATATGTCCTACTAATTCATAAAGGTAGTTTTCTTTTGTAAAACTTAAAAACCGACTGCATACAGTATATTTTTGGTTACCATATTTTTTTTACATGTAAAATATTTGTATTTAACAATAAGATTTTAAAATCACAGTTTAAAATGTCCGTCCTTCCTTCCTTTCTACTTATGGCCAATTGCCTTTCGGCATTCAGCCAGCTTAATTAATTATTATCAGCGTTTTCCAATTTATTAAAGAGCGTTTTCTTAAATTCTAAATCAGACAAATACAGACTCACACACAAATTTAACACTCAAACTCTGGATTCGAACTAGCGACCTTGCGTCCACTTGACAGCAGAGCAATCATTTCGACCACCAGGCCGGCCAAAATGCCCATCCCTGAACAGAAGAGATAAACCTCTTCTTTCCAGATATTGGCTTTAAAAGAAAAATGCACCTGGCCGTATACTCCTGGCAGCTTGGACCGTAAAACCAATCAAGAAAGAAGAAAAATGCACCTTTTGGCACATACCAGCTGTCATTTTGCTGCCTATGTACATTGGATTTTTTCATTCTTGGAGGGAAATGTAATATAATATACAATTTTTTAAAAAAATAATGTCCCGGCAAGGTGTTTTACAGCCAGTAGATGTTAACGTTGATCATTCTCCAGCACGGTAAGTTATTTATTTATCATATTTTATTCAATATTCAAACGAAAAATGCATTATTTAGCAAACGTGCTCGATTTGATGAATCCCTGGATGATTCGAATAAGAGCAATTTATGGACCTTAACTAATAGAGAATTAATTTTACACGAAATCTACGATCATGGAATTGGTCGATTGGACTGTGATTCTGAGGATGTCATCACCGATGATGATTCTATATTTAATAAAACCGAAGGAATTGGAATCGATGTATCATGTGCATCTATGACTCCGAACACTAGGGACAAACAGGTGAGTATCTCTTTATAGTACTGTATTATTAAATATGCCAAATTTGCTTAAATTACTAATATAACTTCTGAAATTTTAGTTATCTTTATTAGAGTCAACATTAACCAAAGAGTCTTTAGATAAGTTATCTAGCAGAGAGTGGGATAATCTTTTAAATAAAACTGTTATTAGGCCCACTGATAAAACGAGTAAGTAAATACATAATATACCGATATGTATCTACTATGTATGGTAAATCTTTTAAAATGAAATTATTTTTTTTTTTAAGATTATTTTAACTTGTTGTCAGATGAAGTTATATTACATATATTTAGATGGCTACCAAAAAGTTATTTAAGTGATATTTCTTTGGTTTGTCGACGATTCTATAGACTAACACAAGATGAAAGCCTTTGGACACGAATGGATGTTTCTAACAAATATTTGGGCCCGGGTGAACTGGGTAAAGTCTTAAGCAAACAAGTTGTCGTTCTCCGCCTAGCTCGTTCCGAGGTAGTAGCATTTTTATTTGAATCCATATAAAGATATTTAATTTTTTTTTTATCTTGTAGATAATGCATAAGCCAATTTTACCTGATTGCAAAGCGTATCACCCAGATTTTCGATCTCGATTGCTCTATTTAGATTTAAGTATGGCTCATATATCGCTGGACAGTTTAGTAATGCTGTTTGGTAAATGTAGAAGACTGAAAAAAATAAGTCTGGAAAATGTACCTGTGAATGATGATGTGCTGATTGCCTTGTCGGGAAATAAAGATATTGAAGTGATCAATTTTGCCATGTGTACGGGAATGCAGCAGGATGGACTTAAATACTTACTTACAAATTGTAGACAGTAAGTGATGTAATATTTTTATTATTAACTGTCTCAGTTTTTTATACTGAAACACTTCATATATTTTTTTTTAATATATAAAAGAAAAACCCTGAGTTAAAAATCTCAGATATTTTGTCTGGATTAAAGATTCTTAGTAAAAACTATATCTAATATTTTCTTATTATAAATAATTAAAAAATAAAGACAACGCAAAAAATTAAATTAACTCTACTGAATTACAATCTAAAATAATTTTTAAAAGCTTATTTCTGAAAGGTCTTTTCAAAAATGAATAGAATATTACTGATATTACTTTTATTTTTAATTATTTTCTCTTGTATTTTTTATAAGTTTTATTTAAGAATTCGCTATTAGCATATATACCAAAGGCTCGAGAAAAAAAACTGTGTCACGGTGGCCTTTGAATTTCTTGTTGTGTGGACTCCTATGTCCTTTATCAACATTTGACAAAAAAAACGTATCAAAAATTAATATTTAATTAAATAAACAGTTTCCAGACATCAATAGTTTACAAACACAAATTATCTACAAATTATCCTCTTAACAAGAAAAGTAATTTCTTGAAAATAAATAATAGAAAGTTTTTTACCCTTATTCTGAATTAAATATTAATTTTCACAAAATTTTAAATAAATTTCAATATACAGGGCGACCCAATATTATAAAAAAGCTATACTTAATCAGGATCTTTATTTAAATTTTTATTTCATTTTTTTTACAAAACATGCAGGTATTGGTAGCACACATTTTAAAAATAATTTCATAGACAGAAAGATTTTTAAGAAAAAAATATATAGAATTACTTTTAAAAAAACTACATTTGTGCAAAATATATATCTGGATCACCCTGTATATTTATGAAAATTTTAAATAAACTTTTTATAAAAATTGTTGAAAAATGTTCTCTTCGGTATGGAGATTTTTGGGAACTCTGGGTCACCGTGTACATTTTGTAATAAATGATTATTACCGTATAATCGAGAAAAAAACGGCGTCAGCGATGGCTATGTAATAATAGCCTAAGAGCTGACGACATATTTAGAGAACATATTTTAGGCAAGCTAGAATAACTAAAAATGTATAGTTTATTAACTGGTGAACCCAGAATCCTAAGTCTGGCTGGGGGGGTTGGGGGTATTTCGCTACTGCGCAACCCATAACATTTGCAAAAAAATAAATCCAAAAAACATTCTTTAGGCAATTTGAAATTTGTTTAATCTTAAATTTTAGCATCTATTTAACCTAGAAATAAGTATGCCAGACTTTTTTTTCGGGTTTAAAGTGTAACCCGACCATTCCAAATATGTTTAATTATTATACCTGGAAAACATACTTTAGGCATTCTAAAATTTTTACAGCGTGTTTATTAGATGATATTAAAAAATATGTGTTAATTGCCAGACGAATTCAATGGGATATAATACTTGCCAGACGAATTCAATGGGATTTAATACTTGCCAGACGCGAATAAAGATTTTAAATGAGCGCGATAAGAAAGTCTTATGAGTATCTATAAGCGCGAGGAAGATAGTTTATTGAAACCCCTCTGCAGCCGATGCGGCTGACGTAACAGCATTTTGGAGTCGTAAAAACTTAAAAAAAAACTAACTAATATTGAATAAATAAAAAGAAACATTTTTTAATAAAAATGTATGATTGAAGTCCTTTCAATAAGAAGACTTTTTAATTTAAGTATCTGAAAGAATTAAAAGACGAATAATTATTTAAAAATTAGCATAATATAAAATATATTTTTTTCAAACGTCACAAAAGTATAATTATTATTATACTTTTGTGACATATTATATTATTATTAATTTTTGCGACCTGATTGACAATATAAAAAAGTCATTTTAACGCCTAAGCATAAAAGTAAAGCACTTTTACTTACTTTTGAATCTATTTAGAAAGATTAACAATGGTACTTGTTAAAACAATAAAATTCCAGAATACTTATTTTTTTAGCACTGTACATGGTACCCTTTTGTCGGGACTACGTTTTCTGGTAAAACCACTTCTGTAAATTTTAAACCATGTTGTTGGCGCACTTTTAAAAATTCTTTGCATTTTTGTAGTCTGCCTTCATCAAAAACAATAACTTTGTCACTAGTAACTTTTTTACAAACTACACAAGTTAAATGTTTTTTATCCATTGTGATTTAGTAGCTAGTAGCGAAATTAGTAGTTGCCTAAACTTGCCTAAAATATGTTCTCTAAATATGTCGCCAGCTCTCCGGCTATAAAGATCCCTGTCATTTTATATGTAAAATTATATAGGGACTCTCAACGATCGTCATTTCCGAGCCAATTGGACGCCGTTTTTTTCAATCATGCGGTATATTCGACTACTATTATTTTTTTTCTCATAACTTTAGGAGGTGTGATTGGTAGGTTTACCATACTATAAAAAAATGGCGTCAGATTGGAAGTGTGAATCGTCATTTTCAAGTCAATATGACACCTTTTGTGCTGTTCAAGCTTATTTTTGCTCACACGGTGTCTTTTTGTTCTAGAATAAGGGAACTAAATATTGCATGGACCTACTTAAATGCAGATAGTATACAGTATATTTGCGAGAACTTGCCTTCCACAATGGATAGATTAAATCTTTCAGGCTGTAGAAAATTATTGTTGGATAAACGTAAGAGTTCATATATAAGTCTAAAAAATTACTTATTACCTCTATAATTATATTTTTTATAGATGTAGCTTCATTAGTCTCAAGCTGTCCAAAATTAAGGGAATTAGATTTGTCAGATTGCACGTCAATAACTGGGGAATCGGTACGTCAGATCTCAGTATTAGAAGAATTAGCGTTTGTGGCTCTTTCAAGATGTTACCTTATTCCATACAAATCTTTGGGGTATGAAATTATTATTTTTTAAGAACATTACATTTTATTCTGCTCCTATTTCAGACAATTAAGGAAACTAAACAATCTATCTTATTTGGATATACATGGTGGCTATATTGAAGGTGACGAACTCAAAGAAGTTCAAAACGATTTAGGCCCTAGTGTGCAGATCAATCAATTTAAATTCAGCTCTGTGGCCAGACCGACAGTGGGTATGCGCAGATCGAGTATTTGGAATATGAGGGTGCGAGACTAAAAACTTCGAACGCTTAACGCTTATTAAGATTATTGGTTCATTAACTAATAGTTTCAGTATTGAAATGTAAGTACCCTTGGTACTTTTGGTTTTTTATTTATACAGGATGTGTCAAAAAGTTCGCTACAAGTGGGACAACATTTTTATTGCATGTCACGTAAAAGAAAATATTTTCATAACTTTTTTGATATTGCGTATTCTAAAAAAATCTGCATAAACATTTTCTTAAAAACTCAATAATTTCCAGTTCCTTGCGAACTTTTTGGCACACACTGTACAAGGTGCTTTTGTGATTTTGGGGTAAGAAATCGACTCAAAAAAACAGTCTTAATTTAATTTGGGATGATTGTCTGAGTTATTTATTTTTATTTTCTATTGTAAATATACCATTTTTTTAATATATTTTCGAGGATTTATTGTATTAAAGTGTTTTTTTTTTCATTAATTTAAAAATTAATTTTAATTTATTTAGCTCGTGGGTTGATTTTGTTTTACATATAGACAACCATAATATTTAAAGACAAATACAAAGCGTAAAACTATTTTGATATTATTGTTTGTAAGCAATAATGTGCAGAGTATTACAAATATTTTTGACGAAACAATTGTGTTTAAAAATAAAGGACATTGTTAAAGATGTTTATATATGAAAGAAAAATAAGGTCAAATTAAGTGGGTAATTTTGTTTTATACGTATTCAAAATTTGATTATTATTATAACATAGACATTACACTTTTTGCCTTGGATGGATGTGTTTGTGTAAATTGTAATTGCAATGGATAGTGATTTTAGTACACCCTGTATACGAAAATAACTTTGTATTGAGTCTCCACGCTGCAAAATTTTATAGGTAAAACCTAAAACGGTCTTTATTTTACAAAAGGCATCACCTCCAAAATTTTATCGCACATATTCATTAGTAAGTGCTAAAAGGTTCTATACATTGGTCTATTATTTAGGATACTGTAATATTTTCCATATTTTGCGTGGATATTTGTATCCATATCCATTATAAAACTTTTGATGATGCCCTTTGCCTTATAGATTTACACCAGTGTGACACTAAAAACTAATGAGTTTTAGTACGCTATATTTATAGCCAATATTTCTCGTATAACTAATATAGGTAAAACTACCGTATGATCGAAAAAAAACGGCGTCGGCGATGGCTATGAAATGAAGATCGCTGTCATTTTATATATAAATTTATATGGCAAATGGTCATCGATCGTCATTTCCCAACCAACTGGACGCGGTTTTTTTTCGATCATACGGTATTATTGGCGACATAGTGAATAGTTGAATTTGCATTTTCTTTGCGGGAATTTAGACTGTGAATTCGGATTTTTTTTTTAAATTAATATTGATCTATTTAAAGAATTCAGTAAACTTATACTTCAGTTTTAGATAACTTATTGCTTTTCAGAGTTCAAATGGATTTTGGGGATAAGGGATAATTAAATAAAACACACAGTTAGAAAAATTCCGTCTTTATTATAAGAAATTAAAGCACACTTGGTACAGAAATTTCCATCACTATTTTCTCCCAAGTTTACACTGTTCTTTTTTTAAGGTGGATGACAATGAAAATTTAACAATAATTAACAGAAAACAATTACGAAAAGTGATGTGGCGACCAAAAACGATAAAGACGCAATCGTAAAGAAAAAAAATAAGTAGAAAACAATGGCACTCACGGGAACTGACCCGTGAACGTAAAAAATATGTTTTGGTATAAAACGGTTGGTTGATGTATCACCGCCGTCCTTAGGGCGACGGTATGTATATTAAATGCACCTACACTCGACTTAAAAAAAATACTCTCGATTTTTGTAAGGATCCACGGACTTGAGGGACATACGCCTCGCAATCGCTCGATCACACTCTCTCGATGAACATGCGCACAGCGCGAACGAGGCCCCGCCTATTATAGGCGGGACCGGGTCTCGCCCACTCAATCGATACAACCCTGAGTGTTGGAAGTGGCCGACGTCAAAAGAGCCCTTCGGGGCGCACCACGAAGGGACCGTTTGGCGTCGCATAGAGTCCCAATGTGGACGTGTGTATAATATATCCTCCCGACCAGATGGTCTACGTTGAGCATTACGGAACGCATTAAAAATATATATATCCCATACGGTAACGAGCTATCAGAAATCAGAGCAGCCCCTTTAATAAAAACGTATATAAACCATATCTGTGGAATGCCATACTTATTTATGATATGTACAGATTTTCAATAATATACAGCTAAATGAATTCTGCTATATATAATTTGTTTTTTTAGATAGTGGATTCAATTATATAGATATTCTCAATTCTATTTATATACAAGCCTTTCAATGAAACTTGACTGACAAGTATCAAGTTTCTCAAGCCACTCACTAGGGAGCACGTTCAATTACATGCTTGTCAAAATGTTGACCAACCAAAACACACACTAGGAAAATTATTGAAGACAACTCCATTCCCCAACATGTTCCCTAGTGAGTTGCCTGCTTGAGATTTGTATAGTCTGTTAAGGTGTTATCCAATGTGGTTAACAAGCAATAGACGATGTTAAACTTAACAGTTTTAAAATTTCCATGCAACTGAATCATTTCTTTTAAATTAAAAATTACAATTAGCATTTATAAAACATACTCAAATATGCTCTAACCTAAAAAAATCACTGGGATATTCACTATCGGTATTAGTACGGCTTAACTTCACAGCTAGTATGGTTTTCTAGCTAGTTAAATAATGATAGTATAGTGCCATGAAAGAGTACTAGCTTCTACGTCCCACTAGTCAACCCAATACCCAACGTTGCCGTTTATTGTCCCTTAATATCGCAGTTGTGTACGCGCATACACGATAATCGGTCGGCTGTGTCGCGTACAATCTAAACAAAAAAAACTTATCCCAGAGACTAACTGTATTTTGATTGCTATTAACTTACAGCTATTAAAAAAAACAGCTGTAAAAAAAGTTTTGGTTTGGGTTGGGATACGATCCTGGGACCTCTCGTTGGAGTCACAGCTGCTCTTGCAAAATTGACTATAGCTAGGCGTTACTTTCCGCCGTTCTTAAAACCGTTCATAAAATAAGGCGACAGCAAACGGCAACATTGTTGGGTTTGGGAGTTGACTAGTGGGACGTAGAAGTTTCTTGAAAGAGTCAACAGGATTCGTTTTTAGAATCTAGCCGAGCGTGATTAAATAAAATCTTAAAAAACGTAGAGATCTTATAAAGGAAATTTTCTGTACTAAAAATTATAAATTTAATAAAAAAATTACAATATTGTAAATGTGACAAAAAAAATTAAAATAAATAAACATAAAATACCACAGATATATTTTTTAAAAATACAATTATTCTTGATTTTGGCTAAATTTAATCTGCTCTAATTTCCCTCGCCACCTCAGACCCCTTAAAGGGGGACAGCCCCCCCTCATTTCTCACCGATCTCTGTAGCAGGTACGGTCAGATGCGTACAAATATCACAAAATGCGGACAGGTTGCGCGCCTCGTCCGCCTCAAACATACAAAAGTATCAAAAAATCAAGCGCTGCGTATCTAATCTAGGCCCAGGGTCGAGGGGGTGGTTTTTCCCCCTACGACCCCTTTGGAACAATAGTACAACGTGAAAAAAAACCTAAAGAGGAAACAAATAGCTCGCAGCGGCGCGTCACTGACTCGCCCGTCTTCAAAACCGGTCAAGATATACAGATTGTTTGACAATCGAACAAAAAAAAAACACAAAAAAGGTTATTACAAAAATATTCAAATATAGTGTCCTCTCCAGAAAGTTGCGATTTTTTTACATAAGTGTGCAATTATTTTTTTTTTGACGCCAAAAAATATTAACTGGCGTTTACACCCCATACATTCGGATATTTCTATATAAATAATCTATTTGCTGATATAAATATAGATACTCTTTTATGCCAAATAATAAGGAAAAAATGCTACTGTTTAACAGTTAATATTACTTCGCGTCAAAATTTGAAATATGAACGGCATTTTGCCAAACTATTCTAAGTTAGTTCTTAGGAAATAAACAATATCGACAATAAAATAAGCATTTCGAGAACAAACTTTTTTTGTTTCTCTGTAAAATTTTGCATATATTGGAAAAAATCGAAAATTAGTATATTAAAAGAATTATATATCTTTTTTTGGCTATTTGAAAACAATAATTCATGAGTACTGTATGAAAGGAGTTCAACATTACTTAATACTAAGGTATTACATACCACTCTGCTACGTCAGAAAAAACAATACTTTTTAAAATGCATATTACATTTTCTTATTGGTTAGATTTTCAGCAGGAATACGAGTTTCTCCAAACTTATGCATCAACTTTGTGGCGGACATTACATTATCAAATAATCAACAATTTATAGAGGTTTTATTCTTTTCCCTAATAAAATATATAATATATCTTTTTTTCTCTTAATTTTGCTTCAGGTTTTTACAAAGGTCTATTGAGAAAATAAAATGCCAAATTCGAAGAGGTGAATAGAATTTATATCATTCGTTTTATGTTTTTTTTTGGTAATAATGACAAAATATATTTTTTTATTGCCACACACATAACTGATATGTTTTATTCAAATGTTGAAATTCGGCATTTTTTTTCTTGATAGAACTATATTACAAAACAGGTAACAAAAGTATAAAAGTGAACGGGGTGTAAGGTACGCGAATTGCACTCGGTCGACGGAGACGCCCACAAACGCACCCCGGCGAGTTAAAAGGTTGGTTAGCCCTTCCCTTCAGCAACTGGGACTGGCCGTGGTGGCCGGGTGCGGCTGCAGATACAGCGAGCGTCCCTTAATGCGACGCTGCATCATTTGGCTCTCGCTGGGCGGACTCAGACCGAACAGGGCGGCCGAATGGCACCCTCCTCCGTTCGCCTTCACGTAGTCCAGGTTCATGCTGAAGTGCTGCTGCACGACCCGATGCACCGCGGCCGCCGACTCCGCGAAATGGGACAGGTCCCGCGCGGAGTCGTGTCTGCGCAGCACGGCCGGAGTGGCTAGAGTGGCGGCCGTGCTGGCGCAGCGCAGCCACGGGTGCTGTAATACTTGCTCGGCGCTCAGACGTCGGTGCGCGTCCTTTACCAACAGCTGCGCGATCAGATCTTTAGCCTCGAGCGAAATCGAATTCCATTCCACCTCCGGAAAGTCGTAGCGCCCTTCCTGAATGCTGTGGAACAGTAGCTCCTGACAAGCGGAACAGCTTTCTCCTCTCTCCCAACCGCAGTCTTCGCCGCACTGGCCGTAGAACGGCGGATAGCCGCACAGTAGGATGTAGGCGAGTACGCCCAGCGACCACAGATCGCAACGCTTGTCGTAGGCTTGGGTGTCAGCGTCTCCGACGAAAGCGTCCACCACTTCGGGGGCCATGAACTCGGCGCTGCCGACCGGCGTTAGCAGCTGTGGCGTGACTAGCGGACTGGCGGCGCCCGCTTGAAGCCTGATGCCCGATCCGAGGTCCAGGTCGCAGATCTTGACGGGACAGAGGCTGTCCGGTCGCACGCAGAGGATGTTGTCAGGCTTGAGATCGCGATGCGCGATCCCCTTGGCGTGCATAAACGCAAGCGCGGATGCCACTTCCCGTATCACTTCCGCCGCCGCCGCCTCGCTGAAGTACCGATGCTGCTGGAGGCGGCGCAGCAACGGTCCGCCGTTCACTTTCTCAAAAACCAAGTAGAATCTTTCCTCGTCCTCGAAGAATTCGGTTAATTGGATGATGTGCGGGTGGCCCTGACAGTGATAAAAGGTTTCCACCTCGCGGAAGACACGCGCACGTGCGTGTCCCGGTACCTTCTCGATGATCTTCACTGCAAACTCCTGCTCGGTATATAGATTAGCACACGTCTGCACGCTTGCATACGCACCTTCGCCTAATACCTCGCCAGTCATCTTGTATAAATCTATAACAAACAAAATCAATTACATTTATAGGCAGTAAACTATTTTTGTTACTAAAGTAAAAACATTAACTAACTAATTTTTACATCAGATTGATAACGCAAACGGGAAGGATTTATTTTGGTGATTAAATCTGAAGGGTTTTTTAGGTTACTTTTAAATAATGTTAATTGGAAAGTAGCTGTTATTTAACATACACACAACCAAACTTATATGGAATCATCTATTATTTTTCATAATTTTTGAGACGTATGAAGTATATTTCTAATGGCCAAAAAGCAAAAACAAAAAGAAAATTGATCTTTAATAATCCTTGTTGTCACCTCTAGCCCTTATGCAAGCTTCTATCCGCGCTGGCCTTCTTTTTATTAAATTATCAACGTTGCCTTGGGGTATGTTTTCCCATTCTGCTAATGGTGCATCAATAAGCTGTGCGAGATTTCCTGGATTGTTTCGACGAGCTCTAACCCTTCTTTAGAGCTGATCCCATAAGTGTTCGATAGGGTTTAGATCTGGAGAACATGCAGGCCAGTCCAAAACTATAACACCTTCCGTTTCAAGACATTTCTCTAGTCACTCTGCTAAAATTATCCCCAATTGCAAGGAGTGTCCAACTAAATTATAACCAATTGCAGATCTCCAAAGACTAACTATTGGTTCTAGCACTAAATCAACATACCTCCGACCCGTTAAAGTTTGTTGAAGTGGTAACAATCGTGTTTTTGTTTCCAGCATAATACCAGAACATTACAGTTCCTCCTTTATATCTTGGTACAGATTTGGCAGCCTGGAGTCTCGCTCGTCTTCCTGGAGCTCTGAGAACCCGAATTCGATGGTCATCTGATCTTAGGCCAATTCTGGTCTCATCCGAAAATAGAGCATTTTGCCCATTCTCAGTTGTGCAGTTTTGATGTTAAAGGTATCAATTTAGCCGGTCAATTTTATTTTGCCGGGATAACTGTGGAATCCGTAACTCTCTCCTGCTGTAAAACCCTCGAGCACGAAGCCTTTTTCTTATGGTTTCAACTGAAACGGTCACACCTGTAGCTGCAAGAAGCTGTGTTTGTAGCTCCGGATGAGAAACATTGGGATTTCTTCTAGCAATTTGTGCACGCAAGGCGGTCTTGTTCAGTTGTGACTCTTTGACGACTTTGTCTGGGCCTGTCCTTGTGTGTTCCTGATTCCAAGTACCTTGAATATGTTTTCGATACAACACCCTGGGTAACGCCTACTATCTCTGTTACGTCTCTTGGGACATTCTTTCTTCAATGAGAGCAATAATTCTTCACCTCTGTACATATGTTAATCCAGCAAAAGGCATTTTTTTCATTTTATGGATCGAATGAACATTACCGGACAATCGTGATTATACTACTGAACACAAAATTTAAAAGAAAATAAATCGTAGCAGTCGTTTATTCTTTATTATCATGTTTATTTACAACAAAAAGCCTTATCTTAAAGTTGTATACCAATTTTCCTTGCAAGAAATTTAGTCAGAAATAAAGAGTGATTCTATATAAGTTTGGTTGTGTATATGGTTGGTTGACTGATTGTATGATATCAACTGATTGCTGGCGAGATAGCTTTTAAGTAAGGTCCGACCGAACCTGGGTTTTTAGTCTCGGCTGAGACCGTAACCGAGAGAAAAAGAAATTCTCGGCCGAGAACGTGACCAAGACACGATGAAATATTTATTCAATAGCTTATTATATGAAAAAAATATATGATAATAATGTAATAAAAACGTTATTTTCATGTACAGCCAGTTTTATTGGGATTTAATACTATAAAATTACTAATACTAATAAAATTACTTTTTTAGTCTACGTTATAGGCTAAAAAAGTAATTTTTCAGCATTGAATCCTTTCAAATTATGCATTTAGATTATTGGTAGTTGGTGATGCAGGTGCAGTCTAGAAATGTATAAGGTGCTGGTTTCAGAACTCTGTATGGATGTGAATAATTACACACAAAAATTTTACTTATTACTAGGATATACGAGTAATTCATATAAAAGCACAATTCTGTTAAATTTATAAAACCAACATTAATAAGGCACTAACATATAACATTTCGTTCCTTGTTTACGCAAAGAAATACGAAGGCGATTCTTCAGCCGTTCGGGAAATACCCTTCGTGATTCGATCAGATCATATATATGGATCAGATATGATCTACGCTTTTTTTCCGACTTTGGACGAGTGTTTCATTCATCCACGCATCGATAAGTGGAGCGATACGCTCAAAACTAAGCTAATAATTTGACGACCATGAGCAGTCTCGGCCGTGGCCGATAATCTCGGCCTTTTTATGCCGAGAATGACTGTAACCGAGATCTCGGTCGGACCTTACTTTTAAGTCTCTAACTAATATAACTACGAAATTAAGCATCCTTATGTGAATAAAACTTTAAAATTAGTGTAGGAAAACGAACATAGATAAAAAGCGTCGTTACTCACCTTGGAAACAAGACGACACCACGGAGGAGCCGGTCCTCTTCTTCCTCCTGCGCTTCTTCTTCGCTTCTTCCTTGTGGCGGGCGATCTCTCGCGCGCGCGTCGACGGGTCCAGTTGTTCGCCCGCGTCGCCGCCGCTGTCGGAGGCGCTGCCGTTGCCGCCGCTGCTGCCCCCGCCGCCGTTGCGACCGACGAGGCTGCCGGTAGAGGCGCCGCCCGCGTCTGCAAAAAACAAACCGCAATTAGGAGAAGACGAGGCTTCGAGGGTGCGGGGAAAGATCTAGCTCATCGTTGTTAGACGCGACAAGAGTTGGACGTTTGCGAGCCGACTGACATCACTCACACCTGACAGGTTGGATGTACCTATTAATAGGTACTTTTTTTACTTTTGTGAGACACCTTAATAAATTTTACTTAATTTCGGGTACAAAACTACTATAGGGGTACAATAAACTCTTAAATTGAGAATATCAATACACCCTCTGTAGTTTTGATATCTCATCTCAGTTAAAATTAAGGTTAGAACTATTGGGAGGGGAAAATCAGGATTATAAATAATATTTAAGTAAAAATGATAATGTAGAAATCAATGAGAATGAGACGTTTAATTTTTTTAACAAAGACATTCGTCAAGTTGCAAAACTCGTATAGATGGAGAAGTGGTTCATAGTTCGTGCGACTAGGGCTATAAATATGAGTTATATGACTGGAGGATTATTATAAGTGGCGTGCAGTGCAAATATTGATAAAATGATATAATTGGGGGAAAATTCTCAGATTTGGCATCACTGACGAAAACGGATTTATATCACGTGTTACTTCCTTAGTCTATATCTTTCTTATATATTGGCCTTCCAGTCACTGCGGTCTGCGGTAGAGTAAGAGGAAGATTCGCAAAGGCACAGCCTTTAATATCCCATAAGAGACAATATAAAGTAAATCAATCTGCCTTCGCAAAAATTTTAGGAGGAGCGCCTTTAACGAAATATTATACTAAGGGCTGCCAAAGGTTAGTTTTGGGTCGAGATTTCACTATGTAAAAAGAGTACAATGCATTTAAAATGTACTGAACAAAGAGAGAACAGTAAAAACGTTGCCAAAGGTATGAAAGAAACAGAGAATCTGTGCACATTGCTAAGAGACGTGGAAGGGGATACAACAGATTCGTCGCGATCGACCCAATTAGTACTTAAAATTCTAGAAGGGTGTATATATTATGTGTTCAGCTTTACGATTTAATTACGTCTCGTGATACTTGTCTATTTATTAATGAGTCGTTGTAATTTTCCCTATAGCTTTGAAATTTTTAACTGCGAGTTAGAAACACTTGCGCTTTTGGTAAAAATAAGTGGAATTGAGTTGGTGTTCGACAGTGGTCGGCGCTATTAGAACCCTGAATTGAAAAATCGATATCTCGAAATCCATTAGAAATAACTGATTGTAGTTTTTTCAGAAACTTTCTTAATATTTCTGCTATATTTTCTTCGCAGAAAGTATGTGAAAATCTTTACAAATAAAAAAGGTACACGATTGCTGAACATTTCTATGCACTAAAAGTAAATGGACGAGTTTTTTTAAAATTTTTGAACGCTTTCTCGTTATAAAAAAATATGGATACCCTATCGATATCCTTATAATTCCATTTCAGATGCTCAGAAACATATCTAATAATTTTATCTAGTTATCTTTTCGAAATAAAAGACTTTTAAAAATAAGCGGTTTGCGATCGTGATTTTACTTTACTTTTCATTTCTCTCACTCCGACTTCCAGATCCCTGAGCGATTTACTTCCACACATGTAAATACCGACCCAAAAGTAAGAGTTGCCAGCACGGTATGGGAATTGCGCGATAACGCAGTAGTCAAAAATGATTTGAATATATCTTGTATATGTAATGTCTAGTATATAATTTCTAGAAAAAAATATAAGATCAAAAATGCTTATTACAAATATCTATTTCCGATTTCTTTGACTAGTAATGAGATGTAAGAACGCCACTGGACTATATGAATTCTCTCATGTCAAAATTCAAGGAGTAACTAAAGTCCGTCTGGGGGTAGTATCAAACAGGATAGAACTTAAAAAAAAAGAAAAACAACTATAAGAATAACAAGTTATTAGGTTACTGTTAGAACTGCAAGAATGGGAGCAAGTAGTCTGAATGCACCTTAAGAGCAGTTAAAATATTTATTTGGTAACGCTGAAAACATGTTTTTTTGTATTTGTTAAGTAAAAGTAGTCATGATGGAGTCCGTTTGGTAAAAATCCAGTTTATAATGGAGTTAAACCCTTTGGTGTTACTTAAAGCTGATAAAAATTACGTCTCACATCTTGCATGTTCTCTAGCTTTCTCTGTAGTTTATTCCTGGGACAAAACTTTTGTCACAGGAAATTTTAGAATACAACAAAAGACCAATTCACAAGACATAAAATCAAAACAAAAAATATCATTAACAGTGTATTTTTAAACGTTTTATTATTGCTCAAAATGTTTGAAATAAAATAAGAGATCTGTTTTAGATGCATACTCGTAGATACTAACCATAGGTTTATGGTCAATAAGTTGCAGTAAATGCATAATGCATGCATCACACCGAGTTCTTAATGAAATTCAATAAACTATTTACTGAATATATTACATCGGACTGAAGATAAATACTACATAAGTTTCTTGCTCAATAAGAGAGAATTATACCAATAATTTATAAACAAACGGTTTAGAATGGAATGTTACTTAAGGTTTTTACCTCGGCCGGACTAATAAATGAAGAAAACATATTTTTTTCTCAAATGAAAGATTTATTTTAAGGTAAAATTGTGCGTATTAAAAATCTGTAACAGATAACTGCGTTGTATAAAAATCGGGTAAACAAATTAAACCATAAACAATTTTTAAAAAAATACGTCGTCCATGTTGAACCCAGAACATTAATTTCTTTTTTGTTTCCAAGCTCTTAAATGTCATATGAAGAAAACAACACTTCAATTTTTATAACATACATGGTTACTGTAAACATCCGCCTATTAAGTAATTAATAAAAATGTAAAGTGGTCTACATATTACTATACAGGGTGTTTCAAAAAACATGTGCCATCTCTCGTGGGGAGATTCCTCGTTTAAAAATAAGATTTATTTTTCATATCAACATAGGTCCGATTCTGCTTTGTTTTGTAGCTACAGGGTGTTAAAGTCTTAATAATCTTTCAATTTGAAATTTTGAGGGTAAAAGTTACTATAAGTGCTACATATTTTAATGCTAAAAAAGTGTCGATAAATTCATCAGAGACGTGCATATGGGTTATCACTGGAATATTTTTCAAAAAACAACATGTGCGCAACTGCCTTTTTTTTCCTAATTTTACCTAATTTATCTAGATTTCTCAGAGCACTATGAACGAACTCAGCTTGTATGTTTGAAATAATCGTCCAGTTGGCTTAAAAATGATGATCGATGACATTTCCCATATAATTTTACTTTCAAAATTATGTATATATATCTTCATTTCTAAGTCATCTATGACGCCATTTTTTTCAGTTTTGTTATAATTATTTTTGTCTCTTAATCTGTACTTGTAACATTATTCTTTTAATTTTATTAATTTATTGTCGTGAAATTAATTTCTGTTGTATATTTGATATTGATATTAAACATATTTTTAAAAAATGGTGTATTTTTTGTGTTTTTATGTATGTCATAATTAAAAATAAATAAAGAATTAAAATTTTTTATTTTTTAAGCTTCACGTCATACGTGACAATCTAGTCCGTAGTTCCTACAAGCGATATTGGGGGCGCTAGTAGCAGTATACTTGTCAACAGTGTCAAATTTAAACGTCAATTTCACTATCCAATATTTAGCAAGGCGCTAGCACTTCATCTTGTGTATGTGTTTTGTGGAGGACTTGGTCCCACATAGCCAGCAATAGACAACAATGGGCCCAACTCCCAAGAGAGTACCTAAATATGTGAGGGAGGCTACACCATAATTGGAAATGTTTCAATAAGCTGAAAATGATGATGATTACAGATTACAGAGTAGCTGAGAATTAATATAGCAGCATTTAAATTTAATAAAAAAATGTTAAAAATTAGGTGAATATTTAGAAAAAAAAATTATAAAAACTACCTATTTTTGTCGTATCCTATTATTGAAGAAATTGTATTTATTTACATGTACACCATTTTTCTGCTCACAATAATAAAATTATTGTTTTATCTTTTAGTGTAAAAAGCGAAAATTACATTTTAACCACATCTATTTTTAAACTATAGCTAGGTACAACTGTACTACATATAAGTTATATCAGAAAATAATTTATTTTCTATTTATATCATTGTTTATACCATCATTGATCTAGGAAATCATGAATTGTAAATAATATAGACGCCTTCAAACAATGTATTAGAAGAACAATAACATCACAATTATAGTTACTCAATATTTATAAACAGACTGTAATTATCCCCATATGTGAATTAATCCCAACAAGATGAAATTAGACCTTTTTCTCACTCAATAATAAGATTATCTAAATGTTCAAACACACAAACATCCATATAATCAATTCTCGTAGTTTATATTTTTATAAATAAGAGATTAAAGAGAGCAAAACAATTTACAACAAATAAATTTGATAAGAGATATAAAATATGCTCAATGGATTTGTTTTATGCAACGATTAAGTGAGTGTGGTTATGGATTGACCGATAAAGTTGATAACTATAAGTTGCACAAACCATGGAAGCTCCTAAATGACACTTTTCTTATAGTACGAGAGCTAGCAACGTCGGAGAAACAAGTATTTTAAGACGTCTGGCTCTTTGATATATCTTTTACTATGCTCTCTAGAACAGCATGCGGTCCGTCTGGCTGCCGGTAAACGTTGCGTTTCCTACTGTGCATTGACAGAATATCCTATATTTTTATAAGCTCTTTAAATTCTAGTATTGAATATAAACCGACCGAGTCTCCAAAGCGCAGTGCGTAGAGTTTCCGACCACGAACCAATGAGTTCAAATCCGGGTCAGGACAAAGACTTCTTTATTTTATTTTCGTTTATATTCTGATAGTATTAAATAATTCTGGTAATTTAAAAAAAAAACAAGTGTTTAATACTTTACTATCAGAATATAAACGAAAATAAAATAAAAGTCTTTGCCCTGGCCCGGATTCGAACTCTACGCACTGAGCTATGGAGACATGTTCGATTTATATTCAAT